AATCGTATAATGTTTCGATATTCAGGATGTTGTTAATATTGCTGTGTATTTAATTACCAATTTCTATCTATTTGTCTAATGCTAATGTCTGTTTACAGCTGTGTCCAAATCCAAAGTCCAAATAGGGAGAAGTGTATCTGATGGAAATCACTCAAAGAAACGAAATTAGCTTCTCAATTTATGACGGCTACAATTAGTAAAAATAATTGCAGGAGGATTTTTTCCTAAATATAGAATATATACATTATGAAAACGTTCATAGACAGGGAAAAAAAATTAAAAAAAAGATCTAAGTTCAGACATGAAGGTTCCAGTTGATTGGTGCACCTATTGATAGAAACATCCGCTTATTGGAGCGAAACCTTCTAAGGTCAAAACAAGTATATTTGCAATAATGTTCTTGGCTTATCAGGCAGCATATGCTTTGCGTCTGTTGCCAGTTGCTTTTAGATTATAGGTTCTATTATATGTGTCGTTATTGTATACAAATTCCAATCCTTCCCATCCCCACTTCCCCAAAATCGCAACTACATGTACATGGATTAAAACGTTATTTCATACAAGAAGGTAATGAAGGTAATCGGTGTTTTTTATTTGGTACTTGTGTTGATATTATTTGCATACAGTAACTTAAGAAACTACGATAAAATACACGCTATAAATTCTTTAAATGCCATGGATTGGTATAGCGCCGTTATTTTTACTTTTTTAATTTTATTACAATGATTTTCATCCTGTACAAGGCCCAAGAGCCACTCGTGGTAGATGGTTGCCGAGAAAGAGGCAGAGTTTATGGGTATATGTGAAAAAGACAACAGTTAACCCTAGATTTGAATAGGCTAAGATTGTCGTGATCGGGGAAGCATCCACTCGGGAGTCAGTTCCACAAAGCAGTGATTCGTGCGAAGAATCAGCTTGAGTGGAACTTACATGTTACCAATTATTATCAAACCATTAGAAAAAAAAAACTATATCAATTACTGTTTTAGATATTTTTGAGACTGAATTTATTTTGGTAGTTGTTTCATAGCAAAAGTTTTATCTTGAACAGATTAAACTGATTTCATATATCTTGCTTTACATCAATAGGACAGTCGCTTTTCAAATCTCCTTAGCTATAATAAGATTATAATACGGCCTTGTGTTTCTAAAGCTAAAAACAGGGAATAGATTTGATATGTCCAGGAAAGGGATATATTTGTTCGAAGTAGCAAAGTGGTTTTGGGCTACTGTAACCAGGTAGAACAATCTAGCAGGTAGCCGTAATAGACTGATCCTCGTCGTAATGGTAGGCAATAGGCGAAGGCAATAGGCGTAGATATTAGGCGTCGACCATGTACCTCCACATCAGTCTGTATTTATAGCTGACACCAACCAATCATATTACTGTGAGAGGGAACCCAGGTGTATGCATATTCATTACATCAAGATTATATCCTTGTGTATAATACGACCCCGTAGTGCAGCCATTGCAACATCTGAAAATTTGAAAAGTTGTATCATATTATCATTAAAATCTCAATGTCGTACATATATTTCAGTTAAAGATTTATTTTTTCATCATATTAAAGAATAAATAATAAACTGGATGTTTAGCTATTGCGTGTTTCTTTTCTTAATTTCAATTTTTCAATTTCAAAACTTATTTTCGAATTTTCGAGAAAAGTACTTTGTTGTAACATTAAAGGTATCAAACATGATAGATCTTGTCTAATCCCTTTATTAAATTTTTGTAATCAATCCCGACGAATTACCCGTCTTTGCCACAAAAGACGTTCAATTTCGCTGATTCCCAAGCAAGAAATATTGCTGACTGATATGTCCCGGAAAGGGATATATTTGTTCAAAGTAGCTAAGTGGTTTTGGCTACTGTAACCGGGTAGGACAATCTAGCAGGTTACCGTAATGAACTGGTCCTCGTCGTAGTGGTAGGCAATATGCTTAGGCAATAGTCGTAGGCAATGGGCGTAGACAATAGGCGTAGAGCAATGTACCTCCACATCAGTCTGTATTTATGGCTGACACCAGGTGTATGCATATTCATTACATCACTGACATATCGACATTTTGTAAACAATTGTTATCAACATCTACTTACTTGGTGTTTTATCCATTGTGCTGAGTGTATTTTCAAATATTGTTTCAAATAGGAGTTTGTTTTTTTTGTTTTTTTAATTGAGTAAAAATTTCTAAAAATGTGTACTTTTGTATAATACAACCCTCACTTTTGGCTTTTAATTTTCGTTCAAAATCTCTCGTATAGAAATTGGACTTCTACTGAGCATATTCGTTTTGCCTGACGAAGCTAAAATCAGTAATTATCTAATTTGTTCTGTTATTTTCATTACCCGTGTTGGTATGATTTCCTTTAATAATATGCAGTATTGCTTACAACCATATCATGTTGGAATCCGATTCTCGTATGATCAACGAAGTTAAGCAACGTCGAGCCTAATCAGTACCTAGATGGGTGACCGCTTGGAAATACTAGGTGCTGTCAACTTCAATATGCGGGTATTGTAATGGATAAGGCACGAATTAGAAATCGGATAGTCGAGTTCTAATTCCAGTCGGGTTCGTTATATTCATGTACGCGGAAATACCCTTGGGAAAGGCATGAATCCACCTTTTCTCCACCCCCCCAGTTATGAGTTAATTAATAAGACTTGTATAACTAAACCATTACTATCTCAAAACGAAATTATTACTATATAAAAATATTTTCTGGCTTTAAATAACCTGAAAAAAGACTAATAAGCCGTAAAAAGGAATGAATCAATCAAATCCAACAGTAATAATAATTATATGTTCAATTTAGTGATGATATCAAGGGTAGGATATATTAAGCTTGCACTTGGTGACCTTATTTCATCCCAACGAGTATTTATATCGTGTCGCCACCAAATATACATAGGAAATAAAGAAAGTCTGAAATTTCCTTAATACCTTTAACTCGGGTATAGATATAGCGATGTACAAAAGATGTCATGCTAGGCTTAACAGGAGTGAGGTTGACAGAAGATTGTGTCTCGAATTAAAATTATAACGAAATATAAAGTAAACACTGATACATTTCAAGTAAGTGAATATTAACAACGTGGTCTTGGAGAAATGAGCTTTGTTACTAGGAAGAGTGATCACTATTGGAGATAGATCATTTCTAGATATAGATATAGGAATCGTTACTGCATGGTGACTGTCACTTTCACACTTCAAAGTGTTCTTCAAACAAGTATATATATATATATATATATATATATATATATATATATATATATATATAATGTCACTTGATGATAAGTAGGGATAATTCCACTGAGGATATAAATCGAAAGAGCGCTCATTGTAAGACCAGAATAATATAATAATGAATACAGAAGCCTTAAAAATCCATATGGTAGGTGATAGTTTATTTCGTGGACTCAGAACGTTTGGTCTGAAGAGATGGACGTCTGAGTCCACGAAATAAACTATCACCTACCAAATGGATATATATATATATATATATATATATAAAATTTTTCAACTTATTTTCCACACTCAGAGTTTCGCAGATATGATATCCGATGGAAAGGCGTTTAGATAATGAAATTTGAATTATTTACAGATATTATATTTAATTTTATTTGTTTCTATTAATATTCTATTTCTTAACTTGGGGGTTCAAGCCTGGCTGGGGGCTCCAGACAGTGGGTATGACCCTCGCTATCTTATCAACATTTGTTTTTTTTACCTACATTTATATACATTACAAATTAAACTGAGTACAACTGACTATTAAAGGATGACAATTTTTCGCGGATTTTGACACCATTCCGGGGTTGGTTTTTTTTTTTTTTTTTGTGTGTGTGTGTACAAACCGTGAATTTGTTTTACTCATGAAAAAAGTAACTACATGAAATTCACTATTTTTTGTCCATAATTTTGAATGTGTTAAAATATTCAACATTTTAACAAGAAAAATCCCAGGTGAATTGCCGCAAAACACGGTTGATTGAAAGATCTATTATGACATGTCTCTAATTTGTATTTAGATATATTGTATGTATTTTTGATTTTTCTTGTTGAATTGTTCACTTATATTGTATATGATCTATTATTGTACATAATTAGGTTACAATAAAATTTGTATTTTATATGAATACTACCTTATGAAATTTGAGTAGAGTAGAGGAGGAATTTGTTTTATTCATGCCACGTCTTGAAAAAAATGACTACATGAAATTCATTATTTTTATCCATAGATTATGGAGAAGGCGTATTATAGATTCGGTGGGGGCCCACGAGATTCTTGCACCGGCTCTGGCTACACTTATATTAATAATTGAAAAAGTTTATTGTTTAATATATTCTACAGTGTAACCCGGATATAAGAGACCCGGATATAAGAGAAACCCGGATATAAGAGATTTTCTCTGGTCCCAAATTAGAGCCTGTGTTAATGTATATAAAATAGACCGGTCCCGATAACTCTTATATCCGGGTTACACTGTATTAGAAATCTTACGATCTGCATAGTGTGGTAACAGACAACGGAAAATTAAACATCTTAAAATGCATTGAATTAACGAAAGGGGCCTTCCAGAAATTTAAAAAATATATTAAAACATAGGAAAATTTCGTTAATAAAATAAAGATGTCGTGACTATAGTGTGTGCGCTAGTTGATTTTCTAACAGATGAGGCAAAGACTCGAAACAACAACGATCCTGATGGACAGAACATGTGATCAATGAGGAAGTTCTAAAGATATGGGAACTAGAATTATACTTAAAATAAAAAATAAAAATATAGATAGGGTTCAGATTTTTGGGCACATTATGAGGAAAGAGAGATTGGAAAATATAACACTCACGTGACATATTGAAGGAAGAACAGGCAGAAGGAAACAACGCTTGACTTACCTCGGGGTGAATAGATGACAGGGCGGGTACAAAGAGGGAGGGCAAAGTGTCAAATGTTGATTAGAGTTGAAAGGTACAGGAAGTTCTGGTGATTAACGATCGCCCACGTACTGAAGGGTCACAAAGAAAGATTTAAAAATATGCAACCGATTAACTGCAGGCGTTACGGAAGAGATACGGGGGTGGGTATATTTTGACTCCTACCTCATAGAAGAATTTTTTAATAGCCGACATTTTCCTGTATCTTATTCTTAGTAAAAGAAAATGAAAGATGCTCCCAGGAACTGTGAATGAAAATTGTCATAAAATTTAACTAGCGAATTATGAAATGTGATCCAAATTTGATGTTGGCTATTGAAAATCGAGAAAAGGTGGTAAGCACACCTTACTAACAGAAAACGAAGTTTAATCAAACTAAGTGCAAATTTTTCAATGCTATTATTATGAACAATCAAGAATCGTCTCCCCTTGTTTCGGAACTATCTTCTTTGAGAGAGCTATTTCTGTTTACTGGACTATAAAAGGACACTATAAGCGAACCTTATATTCTCAGTTGAAAAAAGGTTTCTCAAAGTCTATACCTGCGTACTTTTGACATAACTATATTTTGCATTAAATTTATTCATGCTTAAAAGGTTAACTATCGTATATACTCATGTATAAGCCTATTTTATGTATAACGCGATCCCTGGTATTTTTTTTTTGTGTGTGTGTGTGAAAAACCTGATTTTTTTCAAATAGCTCGGGTATAATCCAACCCCAGCTTTTGAGCAATGCTAGCAGGTCTACCGTAGTCAAATATTACAGTCATCCTGGACAGATTGTATAGGAAATAAATGGTCTTTATTCTTCTTGTACGTTTAAAACTTATCATAACCATTTACCATCAGTAACTCAAATTTTATATTGAGCGAAGATTCGTAAAATAAAACTTTACGTTTTTGAATATTTTGGGCTTCTTTAATAAATGAAAATATATAGTTAAATACCCTATATCTATAGCTATAATTCTCAAAATGTGTGTGTGTGTGTGTGTGCGTGTGTATGTATGTGTGTGTATGAATGTGTATGCGTGTGTATGCGTGCGTGATCGGATGTTTTTTATGCGTTTCCACAGTTTTCATCTGATTTCGATTGATTTTTTTTCTTTGATAGATAATTCTTGAGTTTTTGGGTCCAATTGAATGGAAAAAATTACAAGCTTGAAGGTGAAAAATCGAAAAAACTGATTTTTTTTTTTTTTTTTTTTTACATTTTGTGCAAAACATCAAAGGAAAAATTTAATGTGTGTAAAAAACAGAGTACAATCAATTTAGGGTGTTTCATTTGTGGGAATTTTTGCCGTTCATTTGGAGCAGTTTAAGTTTAAAGTCAACCACCCGAAAATCAATATTAGTAACAACAATTGTGTGCAACTTAGGCACATCTCCAAATAGGGGGGGTAACAATTTGAATGGGGGGCTGAAAAGTGCCGTTTTTGTGTTCTCAATCTTGCAAAGAAGGAACTTCTTCCGTGGACCGTCATAATAATAATTAATATACGATAATTTTTATAATATAATTTTTTTTATAATTCTAATAATCTTTTGCGTTATATTCAACTGTCTAAATTGATTGTACGCTGTTTTTTACAGACATTAAATTTTGACTTTGATTTTTGCGCAAAGTATAAAAAATCAGTTTTTCCTATCAAGGTTGTAATTTTTTCCAGCCAATTTGGACTCAAAACCAGCACTGAAAAATTATCTATCAAACAAAAAAAAAAAATTAAAATAATCGAAATCGGATGAAAACTGTAGAAAAGCATACACACACACACACACACACACACATACATACATACATACACACACATACATACACACATACATACACAAACAAATTTTGAGAATTATAGATATAGATTTGTAGATTTCATGCGGCACACAAAGTGAATGACATTCTGCTGTTCATGTAGAAACAGAAAGAAAGAGTCTAGGCTACAAGAAGCGGACTAAAGGAGCTTATCTGTATCTTTGTTAACCAAAAGAACCATGAGAATGTAGGCCTACCAGGTTACGGTCATCGAAAATGCATTAATTTTAACCCCTCCAGAGAATACCCGTGTATAGTGGAACCGGTCCCCAAAAATGCAGGAATTTTACCCCTTCAAAAAATTGCCTGTGTATAGTGCGACCTCCTATATTTTTGCGTAAAAAACTGATCATAAAATACGCACTATACTCAAATGTATACGGCATATGGCCTAATAAGTAAAAATTAAAGTCAGTTTTATATGTTTTGAAAGGGGATCATTTTTTCAGTGCACTTAGAAACTGTATATCAGTATCTAAAGCTTTCTTTTATTAATATTAGTTCGATATCCGTCGCTCACTATCGGCAAGATGATCAAATTTCAAATTTAAATTATATATCCATTCAAAATACAACATTCATTAGAAAATATATTCATTTTAAATACAGAAGGAGTCATAAAAATAACATTTCCGTTTCTACTCTGTATCTGTTACCCAGAGGTTATTCCTCTCGACAAAAATGTCCATTTCACTTTCATTCAAATAGTGTGTGCATGTATATTTACGGGCGCGTTGTACATT